AAACCAACGTACGAGCCACAACCCGGCTGGTCAGGAACCGACTTTAGGTGCTTGTCCAGTGCCAGTTTGAAGACTGCCAGGGGTCTGTTGGTAATCCCCCTTATGTATGCTGACAGGCAGTTGAACAGTCTCGGGCCCCTGACACTTATTGTATGGTCTCTTAACGTGCTAGTGACACCCCTGCTTTTCATTGGGGGGATGTTGCATCGTCTGCCAAGTCTTTTGCTTTCGTAGTGAGTGATTTTCGTGTGCAAGTTCGGTACTAGTCCCTCTAGGATTTTCCAGGTGTATATAATCATGTATCTCTCCCGCCTGCGTTCCAGGGAATACAGGTTCAGGAACTTCAAGCGCTCCCAGTAATTGAGGTGTTTTATCTCCTTTATGCGCGCCGTGAAGGTTCTCTGTACATTTTCTAGGTCAGAAATTTCACCTGCCTTGAAAGGTGCTGTTAGTGTGCAGCAATATTCCAGCCTAGATAGAACAAGTGACCTGAAGAGTGTCATCATGGGCTTGGCATCCCTAGTTTTGAAGGTTCTCATTATCCATCCTGTCATTTTTCTAGCAGATGCGATTGATACAATGTTATGGTCCTTGAAGGCGAGATCCTCCGACATGATCACTCCTAGGTCTTTGACGTTGGTGTTTCGCTCTATTTTGTGGCTAGAATTTGTTTTGTATTCTGATGAAGATTTAATTTCCTCGTGTTTACCATATCTGAGTAATTGAAATTTCTCATCTGCAGCCCACCGAAAGATTTGGTTGATGTCCGCCTGGAGCCTTGCAGTGTCTGCAATGGAAGACACTGTCATGCAGATTCGGGTGTCATCTGCAAAGGAAGACACGGTGCTGTGGCTGACATCCTTGTCTATGTCAGATATGAGGATGAGGAACAAGATGGGAGCGAGTACTGTGCCTTGTGGAACAGAGCTTTTCACCGTAGCTGCCTCAGACTTTACTGTTGACTACTACTCTCTGTGTTCTGTTAGTGAGAAAATTATAGATCCATCGACCGACTTTTCCTGTTATTCCTTTAGCATGCATTTTGTGCGCTATTACGCCATGGTCACACTTGTCGAAGGCTTTTGCAAAGTCTGTATATACTACATCTGCATTCTTTTTGTCTTCTAGTGCATGTAGGACCTTGTCGTAGTGATCCAATAGTTGAGACAGACAGGAGCGACCTGTTCTAAACCCATGTTGCCCTGGGTTGTGTAACTGATGGGTTTCTAGATGGGTGGTGATCTTGCTTCTTAGAACACTTTCAAAGATTTTTATGATATGGGATGTTAGTGCTATTGGTCCGTAGTTCTTTGCTGTTGCTTTACTGCCCCCTTTGTGGAGTGGGGCTATGTCTGTTGCTTTTAGTAACTGTGGGACGACCCCCGTGTCGATGCTCCCTCTCCATAGGATGGTAAAGGCTCGTGATAGGGGCTTCTTGCAGTTCTTGATGAACACAGAGTTCCATGAGTCTGGCCCTGGGGCAGAGTGCATGGGCATGTCATTTATCGCCTGTTCGAAGTCATTTGGCATCAGGATAACATCAGATAGGCTTGTGATAACCAAATTTTGTGGCTCTCTCATAAAAAATTCATTTTGATCTTCGACTCTCAGTCTGGTTAGCGGCTTGCTAAAAACCGAGTCATATTGGGACTTGAGTAGCTCACTCATATCCTTGCTGTCATCTGTGTAGGACCCATCTTGTTTAAGTAGGGGCCCAATACTGGACGTTGTTCTCGACTTTGATTTGCCATAGGAGAAGAAATACTTTGGGTTTCTTTCGATTTCATTTATGGCTTTTAGTTCTTCCCGCGATTCCTGACTCCTATAAGATTCCTTTAGCTTAAGTTCAATGCTTGCTATTTCTCTGACCAGTGTCTCCCTATGCATTTCAGATATATTGACCTCTTTTAGCCGCTCTGTTATTCTTTTCCGTCGCCTGTAAAGGGAGCGCCTGTCTCTTTCTATTTTACATCTACTCCTCCTTTTTCTTAGAGGAATAAGCCTTGTGCATACATCGAGTGCCACCAAGTTAATCTGTTCTAGGCATAAGTTGGGGTCTGTGTTGCTTAGTATATCTTCCCAGCTTATATCGGTTAGGACTTGGTTTACTTGGTCCCACTTTATGTTTTTGTTATTGAAGTTGAATTTGGTGAATGCTCCCTCGTGACTAATCTCATTATGTCGGTCTGGGGCTCCGCGCATACATGTCTGAACCTCAATTATGTTGTGATCTGAGTATATTGTTTTTGATATGGTGACATTTCGTATCAGATCATCATTGTTAGTGAAGATGAGGTCTAGTGTATTCTCCAGTCTAGTAGGCTCTATTATTTGCTGGTTTAAACTGAATTTTGTGCAAAGATTTAAAAGCTCGTGTGAGTGTGAGTTTTCATCAGAGCTGCCTCCTGGTGTTATTACTGCAACAATATTATTTGCTATATTCCTCCATTTTAGGTGCCTTAAGTTGAAATCCCCCAGGAGCAAGATGTTGGGTGCAGGAGCTGGAAGATTTTCCAGACAGTGGTCAATTTTTAACAGCTGTTCCTGGAATTGCTGGGATGTTGCATCCGGAGGCTTGTAGACTACCACAATGACTAGGTTTTGGTTCTCGATCTTTAATGCTAAAACTTCTACTACATCGTTTGAGGCATTAAGCAGTTCTGTGCAAACAAGTGACTCTGCAATGTACAGGCAACCCCCCCCCCTTTTTGCCTGTTCACTCTGTCACATCTGTATAGGAGGGCAAATTTCTAGGTCTCCACCTTGATTGCAGTCTCAAATTCCAGACCCACATACAGCAAATATCCAAGAAAATCTCCGAAACAGTAGGCATCCTTTCAAAGATATGGTACTATGTACCCCAAACAGCTCTTCTTGCTCATTACCACTCTCTCATTTACCCTCACTTCACCTATGATATTTGTGCATGAGGCTCAACCACAGCAAATCACCTTAAACTGTTAATAACCCAACAAAAAAGCTGCAGTGCAATTAATTACCAACTCCTGCACAAGACAGCACACTCCATGACTCTTTAAGAGCCTTAACTTACTTAATATGCAAAACATCCACACTTGGAAAATCCTAGAGGGATTAGTATCAAACTTGCACATGAAAATCACTCCCTATGAAAGCAAAGACTCGGCAGACGATGCAACATCCCCCAACAAAATGCAGGGGATGCCACTAGCATAATAAGAGACAACACAATAAGTGTGAGGGGCCCTAGACTGCTCAATTGCCTCCCAGCATACATAAGGGGGATTACCAATAGATCCCTGGCACTGGACAGGCACCTAAAGTCAGTACCTAACCAGCCAGGCTGTAGTTCATATGTCAGGTTGCATGAGGACAACAGTAACAGCTTGGCTGATCAGGCCCTGATCCACTATGAGGCCTGGTCACAGACCAGGCTGCGGGGGCATTGACCCCCAAAATCCTATCCAGGAATCCAGATATTATTATTGTACCTACTACACACACAGAATATTATAGTGTAGTACTCAAATATTAACCCTCCTCTCAAACTCCTCCTTGATAATTACAACAGAACACACAGGCATAATAGAAAGCACAAATCACTCTTTGATATCCCTCGTGTCCATCTCTCCCTATGCAAAGGGACCGAAGATCTGGAATTCACTGCAGAAGCACACTAAAGGGCCCCTGCCTGCAAATCAATTTAAGGCCCTATTTAGAAATCACCTCATCACCCAAAATTAACCAGACAAGCACTATACTTAACACCTACCAATTACTCAAAAGTTACTCAAAAAACTCCTAAATAATTTATGACTGCTCAACTATTTGATCATTTATTTCAAACTTATAATTGTTTCAATTTCATTACTGTATAGTGTGCTTGATGACTGCTAAACTATTTACTCACTACTTCAAACTTAAAATTCTTTAAACTTCATTGTTTTAAATTGTGCTAAATTGTAATACAGTACTGTCTTTTCTGTACACTACATCAAAACTGTAATGATTCTCTACTGAACTTACTAAAGCCATATAGCGTGAACTAGTTGAATATTCAGTTTTCTTCTATTCATTGTAACTCTCCCAATGCCCATAAGTAAAATTACAGCACTGTTATTGCCTTATTAATCTCAAGTTAGTATTAAGCTTGCCTGAAATGCTCTGCATACAAAAGGGCTTTTGGCATGTTCACCAAATTGTTACACTCTTTTGTACAAACATGTATCATGATAAAATAAACTTGCTATTGTTTTTGTTACTATTGTGCGCTTATGTGATGTTGGATTAGAGTGAGTGAAGGCAAGTGGTTTCTATGACCTGACATGCTATTGGAGTGTGATTAAGGTAACAATCATCAAGAGATTCAAGGAAATTGGTTAGCATGATTCGAGCCTTGGAGGTGGAAAGTACAGCGCCTTCACTCAGGAAAAGTGATGAGTATGCTGCAGTTCAGAGGGTCATCTGAATAGTGACATCAACATGCTTCAAGCAAAACAGTGACTGAATGATAAACAGTGAATGTGTTTCCTCCTTTTTTTGGGTCACCCTGACCTCAGTGGAAGACTGCCAATGTATAAAAAAAAAAATTATACACATACATAAGAGTTAAACTATAATAAGATAGCAACATATATGTACTATGCACTTATTTACAAATTTGTCTTCCTGATTTTCAAACTGTGTAGTGCTACATGATGTGAACTAGGTATGGGACCCTGACTGCCATGCAATATATGTATTACTGTACATTCCTCTGCATAAGTATTTACCAACAAGGAAGACTGAGAATTTTTATAGTATCTATGCAGTTTTATATCTTATTTATTTATTATTACTGGATACATGAAACTTAAAAATATGGCTGTAAAACAAGTTCTTAAAATATAGCAACATTTTGCCATAGTGGTCTCAAAGCACACTCTCTTATTTGTAAAAAATTAATACTAAGATAATGTAACATGTGTAAAATTAATCTGCATGCTTCAAAATATGGTCATATTCAAATGTTTTAAACTTACGAACACAAACACGGTCCAAAAGCTGATGGTCTTCGGGGCAACTCTTTTGACACCTGCCAGATGTTGTGTTAATGAGGACTACCACCTGTTCACCCAATGAACATTCAGTGCATCTGCAGAGATAAAAAAAAGTAATTAAACCTAACTACAAAATCTTTCTTCTTTCAACGTACCAGCCGTATCCCACTGAGGTGGGGTGGCCCAAAAGAAAAAACTGAAGTTTCTCCTTTTAAATTTAGTAATATATACAGGAGAAGGGGTTACTAGCCCCTTGCTCCCTAACTACAAAATATATTAGTTTAAAAACCATTAACATATATATGACCAACCATTTTGTCCATTTCAGTGAATTTGTACAGCTAAGCAATTATAAAACCACTAACAGTCTTAATAGCAGACTCTCTGCTTACTGCAAATTTCAGTACATAGCTTCAATCCCCTGCTTTCAGCCACTCAAAAGTGTGCAATAAAAATCAAAAGCAACTCTACACTTTGGAATGTCCATAATGTTTACCTATCTGGTCCAGGTCCAAGACATTCAATGCAGGATTCATGACAAGCAATGCACTCCTTCTCCTTGACATAAGTTCCCCTTGGGCACATACTCACACATGTTGAACCACTATGGAACAAGTAGTGAGGGCAGGATGTACATGAATCAATTCCAGCACTGTGACATGTCCCACAAGAGGTATGGCAACCTAAACATGAGGGAAAACAAGTTTGGTTTACAAGGAGACGTTATTTATAAAATCTTAACACATGTGTAACATAAAACACTATATGCAAGGACAACTCTACAAATATAATAAATATTATATTAATACAGTAATTTTGTGATATTCACTGTAACAATGTAAAGAGTACTTACTAACACAAGCATTGTCAGGACCTTGGTAGTATCCAGGCAAACAGTTTTTTTGGCATCGTCCTTCTTGCAGCCAGAAACCTTCAAGACAGTGAAGGCACTCACCAACACCACAGTGCTCACAGCTCTCTTCACATGGTTCACATGACTGATCTCTTAAGAAAGATGCCAGTCATTTATCTTCTATATAAATATCTTAATAGGGTGGTCTGCATGCACAGTAAGCCAAAAATGAATAGCAAATAATTTATGGAATAAACATGCAATATCTTTCTTTCTTTCAACACACCGGACATATCCCACCAAGGCAGGGTGGCCCAAAAAGAAAAACGAAAGTTTCTCTTTTAAATTTAGCAATTTATATGGCAGAAGGGGTTACTAGCCCCTTGCTCCCAACATGCAATATAACTATATAAAAAAAGTATTATTGTAGGCATAAAAATATTAATAGTGGCTATACTTCAAAAAGAAAGAAAAAACCAAGTAGTATGCCTAGAAATTCAAGAAAAGTGCTTACCTAGCATAATGGCCAAGAGGGCAAATGTCAACACAAGTGCCAGCATGAAGGAAGGCCTCGGTGGGGCAGACCTGGCATTGGTCAGCTTCTGGACCCGAACATTCACTGCATGAAGCATGGCAAGGATGGCATGCTCCACCTTCAGAGTAAAACCCTCGTCCACAGTCTCTCACACACTCGCCCTCATGCAACAACTCCTTGGGTGAACACCTATTGGAATTCCACGCCACCATTGAATAACTACACACAACATTTGCCCATTAATGATGTGAATTAATTTAACTTCTTTTCACTGACAAATATGATCAAATTAAAAATAGGTACACCCCTCACAGTGTGTGTGTGGATAAATATGTAATCTAAAGTGTTAAATGTGAGACTGCAATAGTTAAATATCAGAACCTAAGGTATGCAAAGCACCATTCATACAAAGAATCTTAACTTAGATGAAATAATGAAGATTAATCTATTGTAGTTCAAATTTAAATCAAAACTGATATAATTAGCAAGATGAGAAAGACTAATAATTTACTGTATTATGCACTGAACTGTATATGTAATTTTAATATATGAAACTAAGTCTTCTAGCTAATAAAAGATATGTTTGCTAGTTGGCACTGTATTATACAAAAGTTTAAGAAGAAAAGCACTGGCTACATATTTGCTTTAGTAAATATGGAAAAAAAATTATTTTGCAATTTTGTACAAACACTTATTGGCAAATTTTTCATCAAACCATAATCAAATTCAGCATCAACAAGAGAGTAACTGAGCTTAATTACTTTGTGCAGTGAAACCTGGTAGCCTGTGTGCATGCCATGCATGATGGGTGGCAGGGTGAACACTGCCCACCTTGATGAAATTTTCCCTCACTACACATCTTAACACACTTGCCATCCTCGAGGTAATGCTCATCTTCGCATACTTTACACGTTATCTGAGCAATTCCAGGAACACAGATGAGACAGTTTGGGGGACAGGTGATGATCTGGCACTCAGGACAGCACTGGTCTGAATTCTGACTGAGAGGCACTAGGCCAAATGGGCAAGGAGGGCAAGAAGGCTGGTAACATGTAACAGTCCCAGAAGCACATGAACATATGTGGCAAGTCCCAGAACTCCATATTTCTCCATTCTGTATGAATGAAGAGGCATATTAGACAAATATAAAAAAAAAAATCATCTAAGCAATTTTTAGTAACTAAATCATTTTTTGTACATGTATATGTATATAAAAGTTTATCAGATGGAGAAATTTATCTTCAAAATTCTACAAAAAGTTTACTAAATGATAAAGCAGCACATATCATAAAGTTTTATAGAGTTTAAATAGCAACATATTCAAAGAAATGTTGTTAGGAAGTTACATAGGCAGTTAATTCTGACCTCTCGCAGAGCACCATCATGGAAACACACTTTGTGGTTTATGGAACACTCAGGACAACAGGCCCCAGGATGAGTCACCAACTGCTCTCCAGGGGCACACTCATCACGCCCACACTGTACCTACAGAAAACAAATATGCTTTAATATATTGTTAAGTTCAGAGACTGAAATACTATACTGGAATGCATTTAAGCTAGATAATTACACTAAACTGCATATATCCTATACACAAGTGCCAACATGTTCAAGCAGAATTTATACTTCAAGTCAATGGATTGTATAGGCCCCAGCTGATGTCCAAATGACATGCACAAATATGGTGAAAAAGGTTATCAGTTGTATATCAGTAGCAATTAATACAGACAAGATGATAAATTAAGACACACATGCATGTAATGTATTGACAGTCCCTTGATGGCGAACATCTACAAGTAAAGATACTCAAATGTTGCATATTGTGTCTAATTCATCATATCAAAAGTTGTTACTTACTGGAATGCCAGAAAAAAATATGCTTTAGTGTATACAAGCAAACTTTCCTATTTATCATCTTGCAAGATAATTAGCCAATCAGTGTGATACTGACACTCTTTTTACCCACCTGGTTACAAATAACCTCAGCCTCCCTGCATACACACACTTCACATTCAGTAGTGTTCCAGAGATGACCAGGTGCCATGCGTGCACCACTTTCCAAGAGACACCATCCTATAACAACAAGAGAACTTCATACATTTCCCCTATCAGTAAAGAATTAATAAAAACATATCAGTACAATACAGTGGACCCCCGCTTTATATCAGCTCCCAATGCGACCAATTATGTAAGTGTATTTATGTAAGTGCGTTTGTACATGTATGTTTGGGGGTCTGAAATGGACTAATCTAATTCACAATATTCCTTATGGGAACAAATTCGTTCAGTAATGGCACCTGAACATACTTCTGGAATGAAATAATATCGTAAACCGGGGATCCACTGTATTATATTTTGAGATACTAATAAACACAGTACAACTACTGAGCCTCATAGAAAATACAATACAGTACAGTACTGTATATTTAATTATAAGTACAGTAATAAAATTAGGATACTCTACCTGTAGGGTACAATTTAGTAAATGACAATTCTTACACAAATGTTTATGGGCAGGCCTTGAATAAACATTGTAAATGAGATAATTCAACATTCCATAAAATAAAATTTGGTTTTCCTTAATAAGTTAATATGTCTAAGATACATGGGGACAAAAGTGAATGACACGGAAATTTATAAAAAAAAATCACAATACATGTATTAACCCTTTCACTCTCATACATAGATCTGCATTACTGATGCCACTGTCACTCATGTATGTCTATGTTTTAAGTACAGCACCCTCAAATATGCTGTGAGCAGTAAATCATGGCCTAGACATGAGAGAATGGGTTTGTGAGGTGAGTGTGCACAGTACAAAGCAAAATGCTGCCCTATGTGGTGCATGATGGGAAAAGCAAATGTTTGACCTTGTGTTTAGGTTTAAAATAACGAATTTAAAGTGTTTTCTAGGGTTGTTTGTATGGTGTTATGAGCTGTTTTTTGTATCAATTGATAGAATGGAATTTATACTATTAAAATAGAGATGATTTTGGTTGGTTTCAGGACTGGAAGTAGCTTGAAATAAGGTTCAAAGTAGCAGAAATATTCGATTTTTGATGAAGTGATGAATTGCAAATAAATTATACTAAAATTAAATTGTTTCAATGACCTGCATATGATTAAGTGATGAACTGGGGTGATGAAATTAAACATGAGAATTAACAGTGTCAATGGTTATAACATTTGTGAGATTTAATAGGTGGTGCTTTTTAACAATATTAGTAAAGAACAAAAGGCACAATACCATGACTGGAACAATACACAAATAACTCGCATATATGAAAGAGGAGTTTACGACGACATTTCGGTCCAACATGGACCATTAACAAAGTCACACTAACAGAAAAGAGAGATGGAGCCAGTATATATATAGGCCAGTGGGACAGGACAAGAGAAGTAGGAAGAGTAGTAGTAGTGTAGGAATTTTCATGGCACACATAAGTACGATAATTACTAGGAACGGGTGAAGTTCCTTGATTTGTATTCCCTTGAATGCAGGCGAGAAAGATACATTATAATATATACTGTACTTGGAAAATCCTAGAAGGATTAGTACCAAACTTGCACACGAAAATCACTCCCTGTGAAAGCAAGACTCGGTAGGAGATGTAACATTTCCCCAATGAAAAGCAGGGGTGCTACGATTACACTGAGAGACAACAGAATAAGTGTCAGGGGCCCAAAACCGTTCAACTGCCTCCCAGCATACATAAGGGGGATTACCAATAGACCCCTGGCTCTCTTCAAGGAGGCACTGGACAGGCACCTAAAGTCAGTACCTGACCAGCCAGGCTGTGGTTACTTCAGTGTGAGTGTGGCCAGCAATAACAGCCTAGTTGATCAGACCCTGATCCACCATGAGGCCTGGTCTCAGACCGGACCATGGGGGCATTGACCCCCAAAACCTTATCCAAGTATTCAGGCAGTGGTAAGGTGGAAGTGGTAGTAGTAGTAGTAGAAGTAGTAGTGGTAGGGGTAAAGCTGGTAGTGGAACAAGACAAGAAAGGGGGAGGGTGAAGGGAGGCAAAAGTGAAGGTAGGGGCCAAAGGTAGCAGAAAAGGAAGTAGTAGTAGTGGTAGTATTAGTAGTAGTGGTTGGGTCAGTCAAAGGCCAAGAAACAGAAGCACTGCAGGAGAGCTAAGGGCCCACAAAGTATAAGACCAAAATCACAGGGAAAGAGGGTAAGGAAGTGAAGGACAGAACACCCAAGGCAGAAGGAAACCCAAAATGAAAAAAAGGAAAAATAGGAAAGGAGACGAGGCAGAGAAGGAGAAAAAAGAATCAGGTTAAGTCATGTGTGTTCTAAAGTTTGGAGCATTTGACAATGTAATGGGAAAGGAAGGTGTCTACAGAAACAAAGCCAGGACTAAGATTCATTCAAAGGAAAGGTGTGTATAAGGGATGATTCAACAAGACGGCAACTCTGAAAGTTAGAAGTAGGGTAGACAGTTTTAGCAGATGACCAGTCAACAGGATGACTATGATCTCTAACATGACAGAAAAGAGCATTACTGGTGTCAGCAAGCCTTATACGTACTACTTTTGTGCTTCTTGAGGCTGTCAGAAAGAGAACGGCCAGTTTCTCCAAAGTATTGAAGAGGACAAGAGGAGCGTGAAATAGAGTAGACACTAGCAAAGATGTTCAGGCAATGAGTTCCATATTGTTACTCACCTTGTTTACTGACACATGTAGGACAACAAGCCCCTTCTTGAGTGTATGGCTCCTGGTGAGGCTGGCACTCTAAGTCAGGGCACTCTATCTCATGACAATGTATCCTTCCAGCTACACAAACACATTTTCTACAAGCACCTTCCCACCACTGTTCTGATGACTAAACGAATATACTGAATTAGCTTCCAACATTAAATTATCAGAAAATTAAACAGTACATATACCGTATATTAAATAACAATTAAGCATAGTACTTCATCATAATTGCACAGCTAGACTACTCACTCCATACACCATTCCATTGGCAACACATGGTGATCCCTCACAGGAGGGACAGCATGACCCCTCACCAATCTCCAGGGTGTGGTTGGCAGGACATGTGAGGCGAGGACAGCTTGCAATATAACACTGTGTCCGACCATCACGACACTGGCACTGTGAACATGCCACTGGTGACCAGAATTCTCCATCACGATGTACTGTCTCATCAAACTTACACGATCCTATTAAAGTTCAGTATATAGAGTGGTTGGTGCAGTTTATACCAATGTTACAACAAAATTCTTGGTTAGTGGTAAGATAATGGCAAAGACTTCCAGCAGAACAGCATAAATAAAACTGCATATACTACATGCTGTAGGTGTAGGCTGGATATATAATAGCAGAGCTTAATTTTATATATGATGACGAATGAAATGTGAGCATTAAGTACTGGTCATGGTAGAAAGTTTAGATAATAAATGGTGTTTCTTGAGAGTATTTAAAGTACAGGAAATTTTTTTCTCCCCTACCATCATTTTTAGTTCTTCCTACCACCAATCATGCATCTTACCTCCTGAACCCACCCTTCTGTAACCACAAACTTCTGCTAACTCTTAAGAACATGCAGTATACTGTTGATAAATTTACATAACACCTAAGGCACTTAATGCAAACTGGATAAAATAGGACATACAAAATAGGACATACTCAGATTAAAATAATATAACCTAGGAATCAAGTAAATTTATGTAATTTCAAATGAATTACAAAATATAACCAATATAATATGGATATAATGCAATTCTGACAGGGTCAATATTGAGTTTAGCTAATCGATTTTGACTATCTAAATACTACGTGTTGTGCAATGGAGCTAGTTACATTTTACATAGATGGGATATAAACTGTTATTTAATAACCAAACTTAGCTTAACATAATCCAACCTAACATAGCCTAGCAAATTTTTCCTCCAACAACTGTTCATACCTTTCACTAACACTGTTTTCTTAAAACTATTCACCTTTACATCTTTTTTTACTACAGTGACACATCATTCTTGCACTCCAGCCCTTACTCTGTGCATGTAAGTTGTATCATGTACTTGTAGAAATAAAGGTTACTCCAGCTACTGCTAAATAATAATAAGAAGTATACCTGGAGGGAGTTTTGGGGGTCAACGCTCCCATGGCCTGATCCGTGACCAGGCCTCGTAGTGGATCAGGGCCTGATCAACCTGGATGTTCCTGCTAACCACACATAAACCAATGTACAAGCCACAGCCCGACTGGTCAGGTACTGACTTTAAGTGCCTGTCCAGCGCCTTCTTGAAGACAACCAGGGGTCTACTGGTTATCCCCTTTATGTATGCTGAGAGGCAGTTCACCTGGAGAGAGTTCCAGGGGTCAACACCCCCGCAGCCCAGTCTGTGGCCAGGCCTCATGGTGGATCAGGGCCTGATCAATGTACGAACCACAGACTGGCTGGTCAGGTACTGACTTTAGGTGCTTGTCAAGTGCCTGCTTGAAGACAGCCAGGGGTCTATTGGTAATCCCCCTTATGTATGCTGAGAGGCATTTGAACAGTCTTGGGCCCCTGACACTTACTGTGTTGTCTCTTAACGTGCTAGTGACACCCCTGCTTCTCATTGGGGGGATGTTGCATCATCTGCCAAGTAGAGAGTGATTTTCGTGTGCAAGTTTGGTACTAGTCCCTCTAGGATTTTCCAGGTGTATATAATCATGTATCTCTCCCACCTGTGTTCCAGAGAGTACAGGTTCAGGAACTTCAAGCGCTCTCAGTAATTGAGGTGTTTTATCTCCGTTATGCGTGCCGTGAAGGTTCTCTGTATATTTTCTAGGTGAGCAATTTCACCTGCCTTGAAAGGTGCTGTTAGTGTGCTGCAATATTCCAGCCTAGATAGAACAAGCGACCTGAAGAGTGTCATCATGGGCTTGGCATCCCTAGTTTTGAAGGTTCTCATTATCCATCCTGTCATTTTCTAGCAGATGCGATTGATACAGTGTTATGGTCCTTGAAGGTGAGATCCTCCGACATGATCACTTCCAGGTCTTAGACGTTAGTTTTTCGCTCTACTGTGTGGCTGGAATTTGTTTTATACTCTGATGAAGTTTTAATTTCCTCATGTTTACCATATCGGAGTAATTGAAATTTCTCATCGTTGAACTTCATATTGTTTTCTGCAGCCCAATGAAAGATTTGGTTGAGCAGTCTTGGACCCCTAATGCTTATTTTGTTGTTTCTCATCATACTTGTGCCTCTGCTTTTCATATGGGGGATGTTGGATCTCCTGCCAAGTCTTTTGTTTTTTGTAGGGAGTGATTTTCATGTGCAGATTCAGGACTAGCCCCTTTAGAATTTTTCAAGTGTATATTATTATGTATCTTTCTTGCTTGTGTTCCATGGGACTTTAACTAATCCCAGTAATTTAGGTGCCTTATTGTACATACTTACGTGTGCCGTGAAAGTTATCTGTATATTCTCCAGGTCTGTAATTTCGCCTGTCTTGAAAGGTGTCGTTAGAATATAGTAATATTCAAGCCTAGAGAGAACAAACAAATTTGAAGAGAATCATCATGGGATTGGCATCCCTAGTTTTGAAGGTTCTCATTATCCATCCCATCATTTTCCTAGCAGATGTGACAGATACATTGCTGTGATCTTTGAAAGTGAGATTCTCTGACATTATCACTCCCACGTCCTTCACATTAGTTTTTCTTTCTGTTGTGTGGTTGGAATTTGTTATATACTCTGGTACAGTTTTAATTTCCAAGAGTTTTCCATAGCAGAGTAATTGAAATTTGTCTTTATTGAACTTCATATTGTTTTCAGCAGCCCATTTAAAGATTTGGTTGAAGTCTGCTTGGAGACTTGCATGTTTTCGATGGATGACACTGTCATGCAAATTCGGGTGTCATCCACAAAGGAAGACAGACTTACATCTCTGTCTATGTCAGATATGAGGATGAGGAACAGGATGGGAGTGAGAACTGTACCTTGTGGAACAGAATTTTTCACTGTAGCTGCCTCTGACTTTACCCTGTTTACTGTTACCCTTTGTGTTCTGTTTGTTAGGAAGTTAAAGATACATCTACCAACTTTTCCTGTAATCATCCAGGGAGCGAATAATTCCAAAATCTTTACTGATACTGATACCAATACGTACTCAGTTTAAAATTAGTTGATACCCCACTGATACCAATATCTATATCTGTACTAAATTTTTGGAAGATACTGATATCGAAATTTGCTGATGTTGTTGTTGTTTTGGGTTTATAGGGCCACAATCTGCTGACACCACAGATACCGATCCTGTGGCACATCCCTACTAAATAATAATTAGACATATTTGTCATTAATCAAGAAACTTAGACATCTTATCAAAAGACAAAGCCCTCAACTTTTTATCTATTCGGAAAAAAAAACAGAAAAATGCAATACAGTATTAGGGAACTAATGTACTATATTTGTCTCCAGTAACAACATATGGTATTGCCAAGCAATATGCAGATCAATCTTTTACTGGGATTATGTTTCAATCAGGGTTGAGCTTTATCAGGGGACTTCAACTGTTCCCAATGCAATGGGTATAATTATAACTATGATTTTTAGAGAGGTGGACCGGTAAGCCAGTGGAAGTCCTTGGTCAGATGACCAAAAGCTTCAGCTGTGGGTCATCATATGACTAAGACCCGCATCAGGACACACTGGTCCTGTTTCCTGATAAACATTATACCTACCATTTCCAGTAATTTAAGCACTTTATCATACTTATACATGCGTGAAAGTTCCCTGTATATTCTCCTTTAGTGTGTGTACTCACCTAATTGTGGGTGCAGGGGTCGATTCATAACTCCTGGCCCAACCTTTTCACTGGTCGCTACTAGGTTCACTCCTTCCCTTCTCCATGAGCTTTATCATACCTCTTCTTAAAGTTATGTATGGATCCTGCCTCCAATACATCACTTTCCAGACTATTCCACTTCCTGAAAATTCTATGACTGAAGAAATACTTCCTACATCCCTGTGGCTCAACTGAGTCTTCAGTTTCCAGTTGTGACCCCTCGTTGCTGTGTCCCATCTCTGAAACATCCTTTCCTTATCCACCTTGTCAATTCCTCAGTATTTTTTATGTCACTATCACGTCCCCCCTATCCCTCCTGTCCTCTGGCGTCGTCAGGTTGATTTCCATGAACCTCTCCTCATAAGACTAGTCTTGTTGCAAATCTTTGCAATTTCTCTAATTTCTTGACCAGGTGTGAGGGTTCCATACTGGTGATGCATACTCTAGTATGAGCCTGACGTACACATGCTACGTAATGATAGTCTAAACATCTTTTATCTTATAAACTTACTTTATATTCATAACTGCTGGCAGTCAACAAAGAATTTAGCTGTTCAGATTTCACCTTAAATATGAGTTATTATGTAAATTATCCAGCATAAAATGGACTGTTCAATGGAGACATTCATATTTTGGGATTATGCGAAAATACTTTTTTTCTTTTTTAACAAACTTGAAGTAATGCAACCTAGTAATTCTAGGTTAGGTTAGACTGGGTTACATTAGGCTTGGCTTAGTTTAGTTTAGTTCAGAAAGTTTTTATCCTACTTGTGCAAAATATAGCTAGCTGCATCGCACAACCCTAAGAATTTATTAAAAAAAAAAAGCTAAACTCAATACTATTAAACTTGGCATTACACTGACATCCAAATTACATAATTATTTTTTTGTAAGTCATTTGGAATTATCGCAATTTGCCTAATTTTATTCCCAGATTATACAATTTTAATCGTCATAAGTTTTATTTTATGTGCGAGTTATTTGTGTATTAATTAATCTAAGTATGCCCTAACTCATCCAATTTATATTAAGTACTTTAATAAGTAAGTTTATTTAGGCACAGGTACTCATAAGTACAATTATCATACACAGTGTAAATACCTATGGTAACTCAAAAAATCGGCCAGAGTGTCTTATATCCACTGGGTTCCTTGACAGACTAATTTTTATAACAAAAAAACATCACGAGAGATTATTAATAATTAGTAAATTAATGAAGAGGGGTCGTGGAGCGTAGTGAGTACTCACGTCCAAGTGGCACACACTCAGGACAACACTGGTGTGGAAGCTGCAGTGCCACCTGACCCTCTCTGCAAGAAGTGACACTACAGGGTATATGTCCACACGACAGAGTGCCATTAACACAGCGACACTGCTCACACCCCCCGGGGGACCATACTTCTCCATCCTGAGACAAGGAACATACTTCTTGTACATTAGGAAGATATATGGTCACATATTCAACATTGATAATGACAAAATAGTACATTATTGTTACAATTTCATGTAAATGTTTTTGTTGAGGCCTATCATTACGCAAAGCATTCAAATTAAATTTAATAATAACACTAATCAAATACTTATACAAATGTGTGTGTTAATATAAATAGGTTGTAATGGCGTTCAAAGTTGGTTGTCGTCTTTACTGAGGAAAGAAATTAGCGGGACATTAGGTGGATGAATATGTATACTAGTAAAAGTTCAAATAAACTGGGTACATTGGGCAATCTGTTTCACGATGCATTAATCTCAATTATCAGTCATGTAACAAATTGTTAGTGTTTAAATGTCAAACATGGCAAACAACAGCATTCTAATAACTATATAGTTAGTTGTCTTATTGCCTAGTAATAAAACATTATTTTTTTAAGACTGCCCGTAATGCTCTGCATAACATGGGACAAACTCATTTATATACTGTACTTATAGAAATAAAGGTCTTTGTTTATTTTATTTATTCGATAAACTGGACTTCGGAATGAAGGAACATAAATAGATTCCAGATACTGTACAATACCAAAATTTGCTTAGTATGAATGGGGACACCATACTGTTACACCTGGCATATCTAAGGCCCGTTTAGGTTAGTTTGCTATTGGTAATTAAATATATGTAACATTCATTTTACGTTAACCTAATCTAATCTTTGTAGTTGCTTAGAATGCACAAAAAATCAAAGAACTGTCATGCGTGCTAATTTTTTTTTATTTCACGAAACTGGATACATCGACAGTGCTGCTGCTACCCAGTGGGAACAAAAGTTAACTATATTTCCCTGTCATATTCTCTTCATTACCCTACTGAAGTGTTCCAGCTTGAGCTGGAACACTTCAGTAGGACAATGAAGATATCGTTGTAGAGTCTGGCCCTTGTATGGTAAGTGTTAAACTGCGCCCAAGGCTCAGCCCATATATTTTAACAGGCTTATTTTAACATACCCCCTTCCCTCGTGTCTCACAAATCCCTCTACGTTATTAATGGCAGTGAGCATTCAATGCCTGGCCTTTCGAGTATTTCCCATATGTACATCTCTCGTCTCCGTTCATATATAGATTATAATCTATACATGAACGGAGATGAAAAATATATCTGATAATTATCAAATAAATCTACAGTGGTCATTTTAGAAAATATATTCATAATGTCTTGAGGTGATCCACTAAACTAAATGTACAAATGAGTCAATGTGTCCAGTAGACGTTCTCTATATTTTGTAGGTGGAATGTCTTACCTGAAATGGATGGAACAGTACACGAGGGCAAAAGTTCTTCAAACACCACTATCAATGCCTTAACATTTTTCATATATTAGTTCGCATTATTCACCTCTCATGTTCCTAGCCTTTCTACACTATAATTGTTTTGGTTTCTTTCTTACTGTACCAATTTAGTTGGAATGTCACCGATGATATCGTATAATTTTCCGTTACCCAGTGGAAGATATTGTTAATCAAAATAATTTGCAAGGAACTACAGTAGAATGGCTTTGAGCCTCGTTAGGTATTGCACTGCATGTAACTGACTTACCTGGTACATTGTGTCTCCAGCATGGCAGGTCCGTACGGGTGGGAAGCAGCGTGGGCAGCAGTGTTGTGGGTGGTGGTAGAGAATGTGATGTGGTGGGCACTGTGGGTCATGGCACTGTTCCCGCTGACACACCTCAACCCATCCCTGGCACTCACACTCTAAGCACACCTCTGGTCGCCACCGACTACCATTCTGCGGAGAAACACACATGAGTACCATACAAATTTTACAGGCAGTGATGTGCATTGTGAATTGTAAGGTCATTATCGCTGTGATTTAAATTACAGCTGTCAGTTACATTATAGCTGCCAGAACCACATTATAGTCATCAGTTACAATACAGCCGTCAGAGCTACATTAGTTAAAAATGTTTATTATGCACCCCATACCCATCCTGTGGGTGGTGGTCAAAAGATTACAGAGGTACATAATGGGTCCAGGGACTGGGCCCCAAAGTTTGATAGCTGAACAAGTTACAAAGGTAATGAACTCCAGGTAGAAATGGCCACAATCATGACAAGTTACAAAGGTATTTACAGAGTACAGAGGTACATAATGCGTCCAGGGACTGGGCCCTGAAGTTTTAATAGCTGAACAAGGTACAAGGTACAAAGAGCTACATTACAACCGTCAGCGCTACTTTACAGCCCTCAGCGCTACATTACAACTGTCACCACTTCATTACAGCAATCACTGCCACGTTACAGCAGTCACAGTCTCACTACAGCTGTCACAACTATATTACAGCCGTCACTGTCTCCATCAGTGGCAAACACCGGTGTCATCGAGCACACAAACACGCAAGGGATACAATGGCTTGACGATAAAATCCGAAGTTTATTATCACTGTCATATCCTTCAAGAGAGGGAAAACGGAAATACAAATGCGGTATGATGCGAGTCCCCCACTGACAACGTTTCGCCCTTGCAGTGGCTTTTGTTCAAGTAACATGAAAAATACCGGTGCATTTATGTCTTTCCATCGTGTCGGTATTTTATACCATTTCTCTCCACCCTTCAGGGTAGGTGTTTTATGATGCTGGTAAAGGACTCTTGCTCCAAGGAACTGGAGCTACCTCTCATTCCCCAGGTGTTGTATAATCCTTAATCTGGAGATGAGGTAGTGGGAAGGGCATGTTTTCATTAATCATAGGATACACCAGCAGTGTGCTGCCATCCCATACTACGATACCTGTGACATACCTGTGGCCGGTTTTAAGTACTGGTTCTACCCTCGCAGCCCTGCCTGAGGCCAGGCTTCCCTGTTAACCGCCTAGTTAACTAAACTATTGGTGCTGGCTGCAGTGCGTGTGAGGGGAAGGGAGAAGCATAACAAGCCAGCTACCACCAGATACTATTAAGATTCATTAGTAAACAGGACAAGTGTTTCCTAACGCGGGTCTTAGTCATATGATGACCCGCCACTGACGCTTTTGGTCATCTGACCGAGGCCTTCCGCTGGCTTACCCGTCCATCCCTCTGAAAATTTATTATCATACCTCCTCAAGGTGACAGATCAATCAGGTTGTGATGGTTATGGAGGGTTGGGGCCGCTGGAAGGAAAAGCTGGTTAATCAGGTGGTCAACTGGAAAGCTTGGACTCAGGCTGGGCTGTGGGGAAAAGGGGGGGAGACGAGCACTTTAAACCAGTCACAGGTAAAGGGTGAAGAGAGAAAAGGGGAACAGATAGGAAGAGCGTGCAGCGGGAGGTGAGGGTTGGGGAGAGAAGAGTGAGGGGTGAAGAGGGCTGAAGAAAAGGGATAAGAGAGACGAGAGGAAAAGTGAGTTAGAGGCAAGGAGAGATGAGCAGAGAAGGTGAGAGGTGTGAGGGGCGGTGAGAGGAGGGGGACGGAGAGGAGGGGTGAGGGGCGGGGAGAGAGGAAGGGTGGGGAACCTAACTCATTAATTTCCTGACGCCATTATCTGCCTGCTTAAGTTAATGAACGAGCGGTCGACAGCTGGGGAAGTAGGGAGGGAGGGTGGGATGTAACAGGAAGGAGGGGGACGTAGCACAAGATAAAACAAATGACAAATAACCACAAGAGAAAGTGAGGAATGGGAGATTGAAATAATTTCTTTGTGTGTGGGTTACCAAATAACAAATTTATAAATAATACATCAGCAAATATACCCTTGTTAACCCCTTTGAAGTCCCAATCAAGACCTAAGTCAGTGTATCTATACGAGGAGTACATGAAGCAGCTCTAGCGACAAGCATTATTCTCGTGGTGTCTCTCTTAACATGAGAACAACAATACCTACTGTCAGGCCCTTCTCAAATTCAACTCTTGTCCTCATATTTGTTTAAGCTACTTTAGGCGAAGACACTGAAAATTATGTAAATAGGACACAAGTACAATAATAATAAAAAACGTTTTGCTCGTTGTTATTAACAAAGCTTTAAATGAGCAAAAAGTTTACGTAATTGTACCTTTTTATTTGTTTGCATAGTACCCCTCAAGGAAGGTTCCTTGATGTTGGTGAGGGGCTCTTGATTTAGGGAATTGGATCTGTGCTCCAGTTCCCCGAATTAAGCCTGAATGCCTTCCACATCCCCCCCCCCAGGCGCTGTATAATCCTCCGGGTTTAGCGCTTCCCCCTTGATTATAATAATAATAATAATAATGTTTGCATAGTATCCAGGTGCTGCACCTGTGTCTTATTTACAAATTTATTTTATATCTTCAGCGTTTAGTCTGTCATGCATATTTTTTAACGTTTCCAGTAGTATTAGACTTAGGGCTGTTGTGAAGTATCGATATTTGACCTAAAAGTGAATATCGGTATCGGTGAGTAGCGGCTAATTTTGATGGTAGCGGTACTGAGTATCGGCATAAATTTTTAGTATCGTCCCATCACTAATTAGGACACCCTACTTTCTCGTGGATCACCTTCCAGAAGTCTCTCTCCGTGTGTAACAATATTTTATAGCACAGTCTTGGCACCAAGTTTTTCTGCTCACAATTAGAGTATCATCTCGTCCTTCATGTTGACACTCTTGACAAAATCGTTCCCATAAATTTTCACATATAATTTTATGTTCTACCGATAAACATTTTCTTCAGTATGCTCAATCTCTCTTCGTCCCTCATATTTCTTTGCTCTGGCAGCCAGTGTTTAACATATCTGGAGTCTATCTAGATGTTCCGGGGGTCAACGCCCCCGCGGCCCGGTTCTCGACCAGGTCTTTCTGTGTATCATGGCCTGATCAACCAGGCTGTTACTGCTGACCGTATGCAATCCAACGTACGAACCAGCACGGCAGGTCGGGTACTGACTATATCTGTCCGGTTCCCTAAAAGACAGTCAGATGTGTATTGGTAATTCCCCTTATATATGATGGGAGGCTAGTGAACAATCTTGGACCCTGGACACTTATTGTGTTTTCTTAGTGTGCTCACGACACCCCTGCTTTTCACTGGTGGTATGTTGCACCGTCTGCAGAGTCTTTTTACTTTTGTAGGGAGTGATTTCTATGTGCAGATATGAGACAAGTCCCTCTAGGATTTTCCAGGTATAAATTATGACTTATCTTTCTCGCCTGCATTCCAGGGAGTACAGGTCAAGGGCCTTCAAACGTTTCCAGTAATTAAGGTGCTTGACTGAACTAATACGTGCAGTGCAGGTTCTTTGTACATTCTCTAGATCTGTAATTTCGCCTGTCTTGAATTAGGCTGTTAGTATACAGCAGTATTCCAGTCTAGAGAGAACAAGCGACTTAGAGACGATCATCGTTAACATGGCATCTCATGTTCTAAAATTTCTTATTACCTATCCTATCATTTTCCTTGCATGTGATGATGACATTGTTGTAATCACTGAAAGTGACTTCCTTTGACATTAAAATTCCCAAGTCCTTCACGGTAGTTCCTCACTGTATTGTGTGGTTAGAATTTATTTTATACTCCGTTCCAGCTATTAGTTCCTCAAGTTTTCCATGACGGAGTAAATGAAATCTGTCCTCATTGAAAGTCACATTGTTTTCTGCGGCCCATTAGAGAACTTGGCTTATATCCTCTTGGAGACTTCCAACGTCCTCAAATAGATGGCACTCTCATGCTGATTCTAGCATTGTCTGCAAAAGAAACGGTGCTAGGGTTTACATCTGTGTATGTCATATATGAGGATGAGGGAAAGGATGGGGCGAGTACTGTATCTTGTGGAACAGAGCTTTTCACTGTGGCAGCCTCTGATTTTTACTCTGCTTACCATTAATCTGTGTGTTTTTACAGTCTGTGTAGACTACAGCTGCATTCTGTTTGTCCTCCTGTGCATCCAAGACAATGTGATAATGGTCAAGTAGTTGTGAGAGGCAGGAACGACCTACCATAAACTCATGCTGCCCTGGGTTGTGTAATTGTTGGGAATCTAAGTGGTTGGCGATTTTGCTTCTTAGAACCCTATCAAAGATTTTTATAATGTGGGTAGGTAGAACTATCGGTTATAATTATTTGCTATTGCTTTGCTGCCACCCTTATAGAGTGGGGTTCTAATTCTTGTTTTTAGCGACTGGGCGATTTTTTTTCTATTTTATTTACAGTGTTATAGTTAATTTTGGTGCTGACACCACACAACTGCTTTGTATTCCAGCGTTGTTCTAACATATTTTTTTTAAATTTCTCTGAGTATTGCACAATCGCGTCATTAAAGTGAAGGATATTTTGAAGTGTGGCAGCTTAGCACATCATTGTATTATTATTACACTTACGTGATCATCGCGTGACAGGAGTTCATTAAACTAGGTTCATTCTCTCATCGTTTCAGGTCTTATCACACAATATTCCTCACGTGGCAACGTTGTCATTTTCATCTCCATTATGTGGCATTTGTCTACCTGAAATTCCATAAATCAATTGCCACTTGCTCAGTTTATCTAAATGATCCTATAAGGATTTGCAGTAAATCTGATTTCTTGTTTTAAATCTATATGTGGGGGGAGGGGGGAGGAAGAGGGGATACGTGCAGGCGTATAAGTATTTTATTGGTATCTTGGTATCTTGCACATGTTGTGGTGTTGTACTTCCAGCAAGATACCTAGATAACAGAAATACATGCACACACACATATAACTAAGAGGTGATATGATCAAGACACGCAAACTACTCTATAGTCTTCATGAAGTAGACGAGAGTAAACTTCTTGCCAGGGAAGAAAGTTAGGAGCCAAAACCAGAGGCTACAAATGGAAACTAT